ATCAAAAAGGCAGAAAAACAACTAGAACAAAACTGTGCAAGCCAAAAAAAACATTGAAATAAACAGACCATAGACTGCTGCAGCTGCAATACATTTGACAGAATAGGTTCAGAGATGTGACAACAGGGGTTTCATTTCCAGATAAAGTGAACCAGGTATCTGTAAATACATCTCCAGAAACAAATGTCTTAATATTAAATTCAGGAAGGTCACGCTTGTCAACACAAGCATTCAGAACAATTAATGAAAATGTGTTTAATTACACCTGGAGTCTGGATCATTGGAGAACAGTAAAATAATAAGCGTGTCCAATATAAAAATTGCCAGACATTTTTCATTGTTGATTAGGGTAGCTATTATTATACGGTGTTTAAACGTCCGAATAATAGCTCAGGTCTCTGTCTTTTATCTCTTTCACAGCATTCCCTCAGTTGAATTTCATTAACACTAGGTCTGGGTAACACCATTTTCTTCTCTGAGTAGAGCTACCAGTTTGTGCATCTCCACAACCAACTGTAAGTTAATATGGTTTGAGAAAATTCAACAGAACTATTCAGTTTCCTATTCTTTATTCATTTTGAATTTTAAAATACCCCAAATACTTTAAATTCCTCTTAAGAAACTATATGCATTCTCTAATTTCTTTCACAAAAGGCAGTCTTCAAGGTGTACTGCTATTTCATATGCAACTACTCCAAATGCAGAATATGTCCTCTATGGTTGCATAAGAGTATTTCATAAGACTTCAATTTTCCAAATGAATACAATGTGATAAAAAAAAGCTTTTCATATCGAAAATACAAACATAATGTGAAAAATAGCTTACAATCCTACAGAGTAGCACTGATTTTAATATGGCATCTTACTGCTTGTTCTAAATCAATCTGCACTAGTCAATGATCCACAGCTTTGGAGGGATTATTGTTCAGTGGCAAAGCATACAAGAGATACTGCAGACAAAGGTATTTCTTTTTTCTTTAATGTAAAATAGATTTCAGTAAAGAAATTATTTTAGAGTAACATTTTCTGTTATCACTATTTCTAGAAGGCCTAGATTATTCAAAAACATATCCACAAAATTTCTTTAATGCATATTAAAATACTAGTGTAAATCAATCCTGGAAACAAAGACTTGCTTAAGGATTAAGATGTCAGAAAAGGCAAGAACCACCAATAACAATATCTGAGCCATGTGTGTTAATACTTCACAAATGTTTTCACAGCTGTAGAAGTCAACTTCATAGATAGTATAACTAGAATGTGGATTAAAAGCACAATTAATGCAAAGAATCCCATCTAGTTCTTTGCATGGTCAGTTTTGTTGGCTGAGTTTATTTGCTCAGGCTCAGCAGCACTTGAATGCACAGTACTGCTCTGAGAATAAGCCTGGATCTCCCAACACAATGTTTCTGTAACCTCGTGTTCTCAGAATGCCTGCATCACATTAACACTGGCCAACTGTGCTCAAGCCCTGAGGTGATAAGGCCGACACACTTCTTAATGCTTGGATGTCATACGGAGTGTGAGCTTTGTATTTTCACACCATGCTCTGCCCAACCTAATAAAACCCCAAAGTACAAACAACGAAGATGAAAAACATTTGAGACACCTTTTGTGTGGAAGACAGCTTAGTTCTGGCTGAATTGTGCTGAATACTGATGGAGTCCAAGTGGAACCTCTTGGTAATTTGCATAAGACATTAAATTTCCCACATTTTCAAGGCTTTTCATTATCTAGAATATTCCATTCTAAAACTGAAGATAACAAACCTAACAAAGTAATGAAAGTGAGAAAAGTCTTTAGAAGATAGCCTATAAGATCCTATTAGTGAGACACACTTGAATAAAATGCAAGAAATGTTATTACTATCTATTTCAAGAGAGTGCTCACAACAACATGGAAGACTGTTGTATAATCAGTGAATATAAAGATGTTATAATTATGAAATAAACCAGAGAGTTTAGCTAAGCAGGTTATAATAACAAAAAGAGAATAGATAGAATGCTTACCCATGTACTGGGCTCACTGCAAACCTCCAGAGGAGGGATCTCCAGAAGAGATCCTTCCCCACTGGTAGTCAGCTCTTAAATTGGTTTAGGAGAGGTGGAGCCAGGCTCCACCCCTTCCAGCAGCACAGGTGAATTGCCTTCACCTGTGCCTCTGTGGCTGACTCATTGCTCATCTCAGGTGATCAATCAGAGGTTCAGGCCATGATTCAGCAGTTCCCATACAACTGTGATCTAAATGCTATGAGTGGCAGAGACTAAGATTATTTCCATTAGTATCTGGTATTCCTGACTTCAGTTTTGAAACCAGAAACACTAAAGAAAAACAGAAGGTTACAGTATCAATTCCCAATGAAGATTCCAAGCACTCAAGAAAACTGTTGTAATTTCACAAATGTTCCAAATTTTAAAATATTCTCTTATTTTCATAAAATATCATTTTGGAATTTCAGAATTCAAATTAAGAAAGATGTGCATGTATGAAGAGCCACAATACCTGTTTGCAAGAGCGCAAAGACAATGGGGCACCTAACACTTGGGGTTTTACTTCAACGTGATGAATAAATACTCTATATATCTCCTCTTAGCTGCTGGGAGTAGAGGGAAGATACTCTGTGACACACAGGTTTTTCATACACATCAGAAAGGAACAAAAGGATATCTTGCAGATGATGTTCAAATCAAAATCTCACCAATCTAGTCACCTTGAGAACCTGTCCTAGGCAATGCATCACAAATGATGTTCTCATCATGCTGGAGCATGCTAATGCTGGATGCATTTGCTGCACTTGTAAACATCAACTGACCTGTGCTAGCAACAGCATTCAGTGAACAAACAACTGGCAGAGCACATTTCTTCGCACTTCACACAAAGCTGTAAAAGTGATTTTGACCAAGACCACTAAGTTTTGTTAAGATCAAAAATTAAACTAAGTACTTCGATATTAAATTCGCAAAAAAGGCAACTGCAGCTGTCTGTTAGTGACACAGACAGCAGGGTGAATGCACCCTCTTCAAGTTTATGGACAACACCAAGCTGAGTGGTGCAGCTGACTTGCTGGAGAGATGCAATGCCATCCAGAGGAACCTTGACACGCTCAGGTGAGCCCATATGAACTCATGAAGTTCAACAAGGCCAAGTCTTGAACCCGCATCAGGACAAACCCAAACAGAAATACAGGCTGGGCAGAGAATGGACTGAGAGCAGCCCTACAGAAAAGGCCACTTGGAGGCTGAGGAGGACAAAAAGCTGAGCATATGCTATCAGCAAGAACTTGTAGCCCAGAAAGCCCACTGCATGCTGCATCAAAATAATTGTGACCAGCAGGGTGGGGGAGGTGATTCTTTCCCTTGCTCTTGTGAAATTCCACCTAGACTGTGTTCAGCTCCGGGTCCCCAGCATAAGAATGACATGGAGCTGTTGGAACAGGTTCAGGGAAGGGTTATAAGGATGATCAGAAGGCTGAAGCACCTTCACGTAAAGAAAGACTGAGGGAGTTAGGGTTGTCTAGCCTGGAGAAGACTCCAAGGAGGCCTCAGTGCAGACTTCTAGCACATAATGAGGCCTACAAGAAAAAAGAAAGAAGGGAAGAGACTCTTTGCCAGGCAGCATAGTGAAAGGACAAGCTTTAAACTAGAAGAGGAGAGATTTCCATCAGGTATCAGAAAGAAATATTTACTCAGCGGGTAGTGAGGAACTGGCACAGGCTGCCCAAAAAAACTGTGGATGCTTCATCCCTGGATGTGTTCAAAGCTGGGGTGGATGGGGCCCTGGGCAGCCTGGTCCAGTGGAAAGTGTCCCTGTCTATAGCAGAGGGAGAAAAAAAAGCAAACTTTCTCCACTGGATGGGCATTGCAGCTCCAGAACAGACTACTCAAAGGCTATATAAACCCCATCCTGGGAGTTCTCAGGATTTGACAAGATGAAGCCAAATTAAATTTCTGAAGCATTGGCAATAATCCTGCTTCAAGTAAAATAACAGCAGAATTCTTCCCAACAGAATTTAATTTTTTTATGCAATGCCTCAGAATTTTTGCCTTAAAAGCAAAATATTTCTATTTTGCAAGATATATTGTGGAAAAATAAGTCAAATAAATTGATGCTTGGGATTCCATTGTATGTATTTTATATACACATATTTATCTCGTCTATATGTGTGTGTAACAATCAGTCACAACGGAGCACGCTTGACTACCACAGCACAGACCTATGGCACAATCTGAAATACCACACAATAGCTCAAATACTCAAAATAAGACAAAATACAACAAAGCTTGTATGAAACCCACACTACTCTGCATTGGCAATCGTAGACAAGACAGAGTATTGTACCCATCTAAAAATCATAGCAAGTGCCTGGACAAATTTAAAAAAAAAAAAACAACAAGAAATTGCACGTAAGGATGCATTTCAAACTAGCAATCATAACACTGAATAGGTTCAAAAGATCAATGTAATGAAGTTGTAGTCTGTTTCCAAAGGGAGGAAAAAAAAAGTCCCCCTTACAATGAAAGCAAGAGAACTGATAAGGGAAGATGAAACTATTGACCCTTTGGCCAGTATGAACCACAAGTCTGAATAAAGGATCACAGTGTGAAGAAAAACAAAAACCATGACATTTCTAACATTAATTTACTTCTGAAGGCTCAAATATAAATTTTAATTTCGCTTTTATAAACAAATTCTTTAGCTTAACAAACTCTTACGGTTACCTAAGATTATTCTAAGACCTTACTGGCAAATCCTAGCTGACAGACAGACAAGGGTCACAGAGAAGAATAAAAGTACACACAGCCAGTCTGCAGAGCAGCTGCTAAAATGAAATTCAGCCACAAACATCAACAAGATGGGTACCAAGGAAAAAAAAAACTTTGGAGTTGGTTTTGCTGTTAGAATGTGCTTTGTTTGTTGCAGATGTTAGTTCACTTTCCTGGGAAAATACAACCTTCCACCCAGTTTACAGGGTATTTCTTTTTCATTTAAAATGAGCTTACCGTGTGCCGTCTGCTTTCCAGCTAACTTTGTATGGTTTCTGTTCCAGAAATTTAATATTTTGCTTGTCCATGGAAACAGGCTGTGCTCCGGGGAATCCAGACCTAAAAAGAGAAATATGTTTATTAATGTTCTGCAGTGAGCTGTCACACAAGGTAATGCATTTTTTAACATCACGTGGCTGAAGTCACATCTTGTTCTAAATCAAGGTTAACCTTGCAGCAAGTCTAGAACATCTTTCCAACCAGGTATTTTGCAAGAGGAATCAAATGTTTTTCTGATAGTAACAAGGGTACTTGTCCATGACAAAATAATGAATTATGCAGAACTTCAAAATTTTAATTTTAGAAGAAGAGAGATTTGCATTTAAAACCAGAAGCATTGGAAAAACTGTAAGCTTCAGACTGTTTGGAAGCACTGCAAGCTACTCCCTTGAGCTCCAGCTTGACGAAGGAGAAGTTCAGAATCTGAGACATTAAAACCAACACTCATTAATGTTGGACATAAAACCAAGTTGGCCCCCAAAAACGAGTATTATATTGTACAACTGAAGTATAAATCCTCACTTGTTTCAGTTTTGAGGAGTTTTTGGAGGCTTTTTTTTTTTTTTCTTTAAGTCCATCTAAACCAACCACTCTTTTTGACTACTTCCTCCTACAAAACTAGAAACGCAACATTTCTAGACAGTATAAACAAAAAAGTTCTAAATATTCTCCTACCCTTCCCATCCACAGAATTGCTGGCACTTTTGCTGTATTCCTCCCAACTTTGGTTGTGTTGTCACCTGGTTCACATATTTAACTGTTACACCTTCCAAGAAAACTGCACCCTAAATAAAAATAAAATTAACAAAAAAAAAAATCAGTACATAAGCTTTCATAAAAGCAGATCAGAACATCAACACAAGATTCAGGCTGCTATAACAACATATGATCTTAACAAGCAGTACTAGCTTAGAGACTTCTTCCAGTCCAGTTCTCTTCTCACTGGTGACAGGATGAGGGAAAATGGCCTCAAGTTTAGGTTGGATATCAGGAAAAACTTCTTTACAGAAAGGGTTGTTAAGCACTGGAATAGGCTCCCCAGGGAGATGGTTAAGTCACCATCCCTGGATGTGTTTAAAAACCATTTGGATGTGGTGCTCAGGAACATGATTTAGCAGAGGGTTGTTAGTTAGGGTAGTATGGTTAGGTTGTGGTTGGACTTGATGATCTTTAAGGTCTTTTCCAACCTGAGCTATTCTACGATACTATGATTCTATTTCTCCCCCAAATACCATGATCAGTTCAGCTTTGTCAGTAAAGTCAAATATGTGGGCCACATAATGAACCCAAGAACTGAAATGAGTTATTTTTGGGAATAAAAAAGTGTCAAAAAAAAATATATATATATAACCTCAAAACAAGTAAATTGTAAACTAATGACAAAATTAAACTAGAAAATATTAAAAAAAATGCATAAATTGTATTCTTCTACCAAAAATTCAGTGCTTTCCTCCATTCATGGAAAATAAGAGCTGCTTACAAGCAGCAGAGACAAAGTTCAGCAGCACAGAAATTAATGAAGTCACAAAAACATCTTTGGACAATTTGTTCTTTTTTTTAAAAAAAAAAAACAAAAAAAGCACCTCAATGGATGAAGCAGTTAAGTCCCTTTTCTCTCCCTCCAAATCTCAGACATACACGTTTTCAATTGACTATGTTAACTGCATTCAGACCTCGACGGTAATTCCAGTACAAGAAGTTAAAATCCACGTTTTTAATTCCAGTTAGGTGATGTAGCATGTTTTGTGTTTCAAAACTCAAACTTACGCAGTAGGGGAAAAAAGTGTATTTATGCAGCACCAAACTTAGAGGGTTCTTGGCTGATCTAGGACAAACGTCTTAAGGAAAGAGAAAATAAACAGCTGGTTTGTAACAAAAACATGTATGAAAGTACACTGATATAATTTTGTTACCAATCTAAACCAGGTTGCCAAAATTTAGAGGCTATTCTGAATGCCCCAGATAAGCCTAAGCAGACATCAATAAAGAATATGGAAAATAAAACTCAAATAATCTTTGTGTTCTAGAAAAGATTTGATGCTGAGTAGAATAAAATTCTGCACAACGGAACCCAATAAGGCCATCAGGTTGAGAAAGCTACAGAACTGAATGTTTCTATGGAGATTCCAAATCTATCAGACTTATTTTAGCAGCATCACAAAACCTCAGAAGTAGACTAAAAAGATCAAAGCACGAAGTTTCACCTGTAGAACTGCATATCCTGTATATGATTACAGAAGTATTTTCCACCTGCTCTCTAAAAAGCTTGAAACTTGCTTTAACAAATCTAGCTACATACTACTTATGAAAGGAGTCTTTATGCTCTCTTCCCCTTCCACACACCATTGCACTCATCTGTTCCACTCTTGAGCAAGTCGAAGAACTAAGATGGCAAAAATAACAACATGAATTAGTAATATTCTTCCAAATTGGTATCCTGAATTAGCTCACCATTGGATGAGTCAGTGCTGGTGCCTGCACAGTGGAAGCAAAAAGAACACAAAGAGTAAAAGGAAAGCAGAACCCAAGTTTAAGATAGGCTCAGCTGTGCCACCAAATCCATATTCTGAGAGCAGTACATCCTGAAGCAATAAGCTAGTTCACAACCTTAATTACCTTAAATTCCACAGACTTTCAGAGATTCGCTTATCCCATGCTCTTTCTGCTTGCACCAGTAGGTGCAGCAGCACACAGGTAACTCAGTAAGGGAGGCAGAGCTTCATAAGCCTGGCTAGCATGGTGTTTGGGTTCTCAATAAAGGGTTAACAGCACTAGGAAATAAAGGATTGTGACTTCGTTGTAACCTCCTACTCTGAATAACATCAGAGTGCAGCAGCATTAGGGACTGCTAAGATGAAAGCAAAAAGCAGGCAAAAGCAAATATCTTCCAAAAAATAAAGTCATAAACAAGAAACTGGTGCTGGTGCTTACCACTTTAAATTGTCTCCTGCAGACTGATTAAGAGAATTGTGCACTTACACAACTGATTTTGGAGCTGCTGACATCAGAGTGCATAGCACTATCAAATTATGCCATGAACTAAAAACAGCTGCACATGCTTTCACACTTGACATCACAAGCATGATTCTGCATTACTACAATTCAAAAATTCTCTGCATGGTAAGAAAAGCATGGAGTTGGAGTGAATTATTCAAAATTACAGAGGCATCAGATTTCCAGCACATAGGAAGTATGCACCCTCATTTAGTTCCAGTCACTTTGTTTGGTCTGTTAGTTTACTGTAAGAGCTTTTAACTGTAAATACCTGACAACGGGTTCTCTTGCATAAGCAGCATGTGCTTGATTTACATGATTACATACATGTACATATAGATATATATACATATACACAAACACACAGTTACAACTTCAGGGTGGAGAGATGCAAGTATGAAAGAATTAAGGAAAAAATTACAGCTTATAATTGGACAAAGCAGCCAAGCTTTTGCTTTTCCACACTGGCTTCTCCATTCCCCTGACAGGTACACTGTAACCCCTCACTGTAATATACTGTCAATCTGAAACAAGAAGAGGACTGGGGGGAGTGAGGAGCAAAGTGCTGACATCATAGGGTGAAGACAAGGTTGTACAATAGTAAGACAGATAACACAGAGACTATTTCACTCAATTACTGCAGCCTAAGAATATAATCAACTCAGGTAGCCAGACACTTCATCCAGGATGCTAGTGTTAATAGAGCCATAGCAGCAGACAGACAAGATGATGCTATTACAGAATAAAGTCAGGCCTCAGACATACTCTGTACCTAAGCCACAGCAGTAGGAAAAACAGGTGATCCATCTGCATATTGATACTTGGTAAGCTCAGTGCTCCGGGTTTCACATGAATAGTTCCTGCAACAAGGTGCCAGAACTGAGCCAGACTCATCTACTTTCTGCACTGTTGTTGAGCTAACAACAATCTCATGGAAATGGGCTGAGCATGGTGCAGAAATGCAAGAATAGTCAGCTTAGCAGGAATACCTCAAGATCCCAGGTAACTACGTGCTTTTAGCAGCTACACTCTGCACAGCCCTTCATATCATCTGTAGTCCTGAAATTCTTCACCCTTGCCACTGCATCCCTACATTCATTGCTTCAGCGGAAAGAAAAGTGGCAGTGCATCATCATGTCTTCGGTCAGATTTAGAACAACAGCTGGAGGAGAGTGTAGGGTTGGAGCCATGCCCTCCCACACCTCCCCGATCCCAACAGCTATCACAAGGCCTGGGTGATGACCATCTTCAGCTACTCGGAGACTTGATCAAGTGCAAAATGTTTGAAGAAAGCTCTCCAGAGAAGAAACATAATATAAAAAGAGCGTACTTTCTGAAAGAGAGGAAGCAAGCAATCCTCAGAAATGAGGAGGGGGAAAATACCTTCCACATTTAATAAGGAATAAGAAATTCTACATATACACACACACATAGAAGATAAGAGAAAAAGGAGGCAGATATAGACCATGTGCTGAATTAGCATTAGTCCATCTTCTAAAAGGCAATTATACTGAGACACATAAGCAGAAGTATTAGCCTTAAGACAAAATTAATTCCTTTCTGTTATGCACTGAGGTGGCTTCAGCTAGAGGCTTGTGTTCATTTACAGGCACTAAAGCCTCAGAAAAAAATGTGGGTGAACATGACAGAATATAAAGAATGTCAAGAATAGTCAGTACTAAACAGACTATAGGGGTAAACTACATAAGAAAACACTGCTGCAAAAAAATGAGAACGTGACATTTTTTTCTGTATTGAAAGCATGTTCACAAGTATAGTATAAGGGTTAAATGTTGGCTAAAAAAAAAGGTAGATTAGAAAATCACTAACATTTACAATCAATATACTTTGATACTTAAATATTACTGTGGCTAACTATATCAATTGAAGGTTATGAAGGTTAATGGTTTCCTTCGGTCTCACACATGACCACAAGACAGCTCCCCTCAAAATCACAAAGGAAATCATTAGTAGTAACCACCACTTCCAGGCTGGTTGAGACATAACCACCCATTTTAGAAGCACTGCATGTTACACCCTGTACTTCCTGTGAAATGCACGACTTACATAGGAATAGAACAGATGGTACTTCTTAATAAAGATTAAAAGATCTGTTTGACCCATGAAAAGTTTGAAAGTTTTGGCTCAGAAGTATAACTCACTGTCCTATTTGCAAAATACTTGGGAGATTTTTTCCCCAAAGTGAGATTTTAAGTATTAGCTAACAGACCCACTGTTACCCGTCAGCTACATTCAGAACTTGATGAAGGAAACTAATGTTCTAACTGTTGCAACAGCTTATATACAGCAGGGGAAACAAAAAAAAAAAAAGGGGGGGGGGGGGTTGAAGACTTTTTGACATCAACAGTAAAGTTTCTCCAGTCCAAGACAGAATTTGTGTAATGGGCAGTATGCTTACATCTCTTCATGAGCTATCTGGACAGTTGCTTTGGACTATTCACTGTTCTAGGAAGACCCATGGGAGGTATCTCCTCTACCCCCAGAACTTTTCTTCTATTCCCTCAAAGATTTGGGTCAAATGAAAACATTTCAGAACATCACTATCATAACAGTCCTGTTTAGTTTGACATTACATATCCTCTGGTCTTTCAAGGAGTCAGATTAGAAACCTGAAAACATCTGCTATGAGAAATCAACAGTAACAATGAACATTTAGCCCTTTAGATAGTATAAAAATAACTGGTTATACATACAGAGTGGAGAACAGCACCACTGAAAGAGATCTGGGGGTCTTGGTTGACAGTAAATTGAACATGAGTCAACAGTGTGCCCAGGCAGCCAGGAAGACAAGCCATACCCAGGAGTGCATCAAGCACAGCACTGCCAGTGGACAAGGGAAGGGGTTGTCCTACTCTGCTCTGTGCTGTGCTCACCTTGTGTACTGTGCATGGTTTGTGTGCCATAATATAAAGATGTAAAGCTATCAGAGCATCCAAAAGAGGGCTACAAAGATGTTAAAGGGTGTAGAGAAGACATATGAGGATTGGCTGAGGTCCCTTGCTCTGTTCAGCCCAGAGAGGAGGCCTCATGGTTGTCTACAGCTCCTCACGAGGTGAGTGGAGGAGCAGCACTGAGCTCTGCTCTCTGGTGACAGCAACTGGACCCAAGGGAACAGCATGGAGCTGTGTCAGAGGAGGGGCAGGTGGGGGTTAGGGACAGGTTCTACATCAGAGGGCAGTGGGCATGGAACAGGCTGCCCAGGGCAGTGGTTGTGGCCTTGAGCTTGTTAGAGTTCAAAGATATATCTGGACAACACTCTCAGTCATATGGTCTGATTTTTGAGTGGTGCTGTGTGGAGTAAGGAGCTGGATTTCATGATCCTTGTGGGTTTCTTCCAACTCAGAACATCCTATGATTCTGTAAGAGAAAATCTAAGCAAGAGGTATTTACCTGATAATAATTCTCCCTGTAGATTGCATATTTATAAGGAATCACAAATAGACTGTATCCATCTCAGTTAAGATGCAGTCCAATCTGCCAGCCAAGTATCATGGTAAAGAATTCTCCCCGTTCCTCCTCTTCATGTCAAAGACTGTTCCTCCAGAGCTGCAAAACTGAATTATACGAATATGCATATTAACTAAATGATTCTGTCTTTCACAAATTCTCTAATTCTTAATTAAGTTTTAGTTATTAATATGCTTATTCGTATAATTTAGCTTTCAGCTTTCAAAAAAAATCTATGCTGGCAGATAAGAAAAAGCCTATGAGAACAGTATGGCGATTCCTGCTAAACACATCAATTTAGTTTTATACCTGTGGAAAAATGGCTGTCTTCAGCCTTGCCATCACACCTCAGTTGCTAATGCATCAAAACACAAGTAAAAAAAAAAATCAGTTTGGCAGTTCCAACCTAAAGAAAAGTTCTTATCATTGTATAGTTAAAAAAGCTTTGGAAAAAAAAAAGTAATTTCAGAATTGCGTTGAGTTTCTAAAAATCGCATTGCTTCTTGCTAATCCCAGTCTCAATCCTCTCAGGTTTTCAAATTAATTATATTTACCAAAATGAGCACTGAATTTAAAAGACTGAACTTTGATCCACATGGCTACAAAAAAATAACTAGAAATTGTTTTACACCCCCATACACCTCCAGAACATTTCACCTTAACAATAGATCAGAGAATTATGAATAAATTTTTTAGCTCAATTCAAGCTTAAGAAAAGGTAGTATTTGAAAAATTTAAGTCATTGTTACCACTGAAATAGTTAAGGTTTTGAACGTCAATGTTCAGTGTTCATACAGGAAACATTAAAACAATGTTTCCCCCGGTCAGAGACAATACTACTAGTTCCCAACTTGCAAGAGCACTTGTCTAGCATTTACAGTGTAGTAACAGATGACCATGAGTTTATGCAAGTACATTCAGCAATTAGAATCTTAAGTTCTTAATCAAAAATACCAGTTTTAGGTGTTCTTTTCTCCTCTTGCCAAAGGAAGAGCTTGATGATCCAGGTTCTGATTCTTGGCCTCCTGTTTTACCGTTGTCATCATCTTCCTCTTCATCATCCTCAAAGCACCACTCTGGTAGCTCAGGTGGTGATGGTGCATCATCTTCATCTCCGTAACGACGAAATAATTCCTTCAAATAGTCACCTTTATAAATACCTGGTGGTCTAGCCTGAGCAAAGGTAGCCACAGCTGCCTCAATACTGTCAAACAAAAAATGGAAATTACTCTGTATGCTTTATTTGTTATGGCATAGTATGACTAAAACATACTCAAAAGTTATCAGTACCAAGAATTCAGAAAAAATCCTAAAGTGACAATTCCAAAAACATTCATAACATTCAAAGCATCATGCTTCAATTGTGTTGATCTTGCACTGCATACATTCACAAAATCTGCAGCTTGGCCTGTTTCATCTCTAGCTGCAGCAAAGAACAGTCTGCTGGTCATTTAGGTAAAACTTTCATTATAATTTTTATTATTGCTATAGAAAAATGAATGAGTGACACATAGGTGAGTACTTACAGACCAAATTACAGACCACAGATCAAAATTTAGAAATCTTGCTATCTAGGTTGGATACTGGGAAAAATTTCTTCTCTGAAAGAGTGGTCAGGTGCTGGAATGAGCTGTCCAGGGAGGTGGTTGGAGTCACCGTCCCTGGAGGTGTTCAAGAAACATTTAGATGTTTTACTGAGGGAAGTGGTTAAGAGGGAAATATTGGTGGTAGGTGGATGGTTGGACTGGATCATCTTGATGGTCTTTTCCAACCTTGGTGATTCTATGTAAAAGAGTAGAGAGATACCACAAAAGGTAAATCCCTTAGTTAGGCTTCTTGACAAGCACAAAGCTTTAAGCTGGAACAAAAGCACATACTACTTGCTGCAAATTTTTTACTTTTTTTTTTTAAATATGAAAATAGCCTACCACTGGAACAAGGAAATCACGTAGCTAAAAATTGGAAAAAATACAGAAGGCATTTTTTGCCTGATCTGTTCAGTATGAGACAGTGCCTGAGAACTCTGAGACAAGTATCCCAATCAATATAGAGAAAGCCACTTCCCAAGAACCAGATAAGTTTGGTTCTCTCTTTGATTAAGAGTGGAGAACAAAGCAATTTCAGAAGTCAGGCTACCAGATGATCATCAAATCTCAGAAATGACAGCTTAATAACCTGAGTTGTTTAGAAAAGATCTATCTTCCTCATTCTGTTTCTTATGACTCCTAATTTCTTACATACAAGACAATTTTTATTTTGGTAACACTCTTAAATTGTTTTACACCTTCCAAAATCAACATCATTGCATGTCCAAAACCACCAAAAGAGACAGGGCCTGAAACACGTTCAGATTCATCCTGCATTGTATCACAAAAACTCTACACTACTGTGGAGCATATGGTAACAAAAGTCAAAAGATCCAGTGCTAGGTTTCTGAGCTTGAAATCTGCTGAAGGAAAACACGCTCTGCAAGTTCTAGAAATAGAGTAGACTTTGGGGAAAAACTTATAGAAAAGAAAACTAAGGTTTCTGATAACTAGCTGGAGGGCTTTCATTCTAGATGACCTTTCTTTAAACTAACTATAAAATACATCTCAGAATTCACAATGCATCAGCAGTACTCTTGTACCATACACTTCAGAAATGAATATGGATGGATTTTTCCATCAGGAAAGCCTTATTTCCTCTTCAGCAAACAGCAGTGACTTATTTTAAAGGATGATACAGCAAACTGGCTTTATCTTAATACAATGCTTAGCACTAACTTCCACCTTGCAGAAATCTTCTTTTGCAGTGGACATTTTTATTAAGTGACACCAGGACACTCTGTTAAAATAATTTGACAGAGAAGAGCAAATTTACACGATCAGCTATTTGAACAAAGTGAACAAACAAAAATATATGGCTGCTAAGTTCTAAGGCCTTTCCCACAGAGGTTTAGAAGTAAAAAGCTGCATAAAAGCAGTTTCAAATAGATTTAAGTGCATTTCCTCCTCAGAACAAACGACCAATATTGAATCTGATTACTGCATGCTGCTTTTAAGTTGTTAGATTAAAAGCAGACCAATTTTCTACTTTGTGAAAGTAACTATAATCACACTATAACAATCTTTGTATCTTCCTGCAGTCAGCTAAGATTCAGCTAAGATTCAGCCACCCATCATTAATGGCATTCTGTCTCCATTACTCCAGTGTCTTTACTCCAAGTTTACTAACAGAAGACAATAACCTACTTCTTTGCAAACTGCTTGCATATACATGTTAATCACCAAATAAATTCTATGTCCAGAGATATATCACAAGAATATGCAAGAACAGGAGTGTGTTTCTCTTCACTTAAAGGACCATACAAGAAATACCATCAAAATGCTGAAGGGACTTGGTAAGTAACACACTCTGCAAGTGACCCAGCCATCACAAAAACAGCATTTCATGAACACTATCAGCATGGTATAGCCTATTTTTTTCCCCTTTTAACTAGTAATATTTGGAAAAGATCTCTGATATGTATGAAGGCAACAAAGTTTCAAATCATTCAAACAGGTGTTTTCATAGAATTATGCTGCAGACTTCAGTCAAACAGCAAGCTGGAAACAGCTTTGCCTTCCCACCACCCCTTCAGAAGGGAACTTGTCACTCTGTTGTTTCTCCAGCTAATGGCATCTTCCTGGAAGTCAAGAAACTAAAAAAGCCTACATGCAAACCTATGTGAAATAGAAGAAATAATACTTCAGGTTTCCCTGAACTCTATGTTTTCACTCAAAGCGTGGGGCATACCACTAGGGAGGGACCCAGCACAATCCATACATTTCTAGAAGCCCTCACACAGCAGGTACAGCTGACTTTCACTTACCAGAACTGAAAAGCTTGACTGACCAAGGCTAACCTACCAAAGTATGATATGAATAATACTAACATAGCTTGTTTGCTCAAAATTAGTAGGAAGTTTTAATTTAAACAGTGAATATACAAGGATAGCTGCCAGGACAACGAGTGAAACATACTGAAGATTCTTTAGCTCCACAAAGCCCTAAGAATTAAAATTCAAAGTTACCTCCAGTCCAGCTTCTCAACCAAGAAGGCACAGATGAGAAATCCAGTTCTATTGAAACCATGTGTGCAATGGACACCTAGATGAAACAAGAGAAGAGCATAATCATTTGAAAGTATTTCCAACATACATAGTTAAGTTTCACAAGTGAGTTTTCTAATCATTCGACCCTCACCAATAACAAGTTACCTCCCCTCCTATCAAGACAGCACAGATTACATAATGCACAAAAGACTAAGAACAATTTATTATATTCTTCCCACAAATTATCAGCAACAAGAGTATAGAACACTACAGATTATTTCAGATCAAGACCACTAACTTAATCCAACTCAAATATGGCTAATGCAGATGAGATCCAAAGTTGTTTGGTTTGGATTTTTTTTTCTTTTTTTAAATGACTGCTCAAACGTTTACTAGGAGACAACGCAATCAGATTTGATAGCTGTGCTTTTAATGGATTCAACAAGCACTACATTATTTCACACCATCAGGCATAAAAAAATCATACCCAGATTTTCCTATTTCAAACTTGAATGCAGCGTCAGTCTAAAATTCTAAGTCAGATTTATAATTACTATACTAAGGCTGAGGGGAAAAAAAAAAAACTATTACAATAACCTTGAAATACTTAAAATACTTATTACATTTTAAGAAAAACACAAATCTTTCCTCTATTTTACAGTGAAAGGAAGGGAGAGTCAAAGGCATCGAAATTCCTGTTTCCTTTTTCCTATTCTTATTTCCCATGTCAAGGCAACAGCACCATCTAGTGATAAACAAACCAAGCCTAAAACTTGTGCTACTAAAAGGCTATGAAGAATTCCTCCCACTGCATTTTTTTTTTAAACAGCAAACACCATACCACTAAAACCAAGTGCAATTCTTAACTGATTAATAATATGTTTTTCAGCTCTGACTACAAAGCAAGGTTTTATTAATTCACTTATTTCTCTGCCACAGTTAGGAGACTAAGTCAACAATAATTCACTTGATGTTTATCCAGATCAAATTTCAGCATCTATCTTCTCTTCCTACACCCCACATCCACACTACAAGCAATTTATTTATTTTAAACTGGAGATCCAAGACCAAATAGCTATGAAGAGCAGAAACTTTACACAAGTACACAGACCTCAACTGCATCAGAGTTGGTTTTGTGACTCACTCCCCTTTCACTCCAACCTTCCTTTCTTAATAAAGCAACACAAAATCTGCTAGGAATTTCTTGGATTCACACTTTCTAACTATTAATAGCCATAAAAACCATAACTTGCATAAAATGAAATTAATTTTAGCTTCCTTATAGAACTTGTTCCCAGTAATCATTTCTCTTTTGTTTCTGGCTTAAGCAAAATCTTTGCATTTTGTTTCCTTGAAGTTGGCAGGCATGCTGCAGCCCTTCAAGTTGCAAAAATATAGCTTCCATCCTATAGTGTTCTAGTTGAATAGAAAATTTTGTTCACTTATCATTCGCATTTGAGCCTTTTTCGTATCAGGCACACAATTACTATCAATAAGCCCTGCAGCTGTTACTTCTACCAAGAAGGTTAAGTCAATAATTTTACACACACAACAAAGATAAGTAGCATTTCAGCAATGAGACCAATGGCTTGGAAAGGAATGATTGCAGAGGGTGCAGTACTATCACTGCTGCAGATTGCTTTCACTTCTGATAAAAACATCCCCCGCTCTTAGTCCTCTGGAGCTCTTTCAAAAGAGGAAACAAAGCATTCAGACCCAGAAGCAACTTTTCTGTAACTCACGGAAAGAAAATGGAAAATCCCAATGTTTCACAAAGCCTAAACCACAGGTTATTTAAGAGATTATTAATTTAATTATTTTTTTTTTTTTGCCTCACAGAAGTGAACCAAAGGGAAGTGATCATCCCTCTGTACTCAGCCCTGCTGAGGGCACACCTCAAGCACTGTGTTCAGTGTTGGGCCCCTCACTGCAAGACAGACATCGAGGCCCTGGAACATGTCCAGAGAAGGCAGTGATGCTGTGAGGGCTCTGGAGCACAAGTCTTATGGGTACTGGCTGAGGGAGCGGGGATTGTTCAGTCTGGAAAAGAGGCTCAAGGGTGAGCTTATCGCTCTCTAGAACTTCCTGAGGGGAGGCTGTACTGAGCTGGGGGTGGGGGGGTCAGCCTCTTCTCCCATTTAATTAACATTAGGACTAGAGGGAATAGCCTTTAGATGCATAAGGGGAGACTCAGGTTGAACATTAGGAAATACCTCTTTGAGAGAGCGATCAGGCACTGGAATGGGCTGCCCAGAGAGGTGCTTGAGTCATCAACCCCAGAGGTGTTCAAAAAACATTTCACTGTTGTTCTGAGAGACATGGTTCAGTAGGGAAATATTGGTGATAAGGGTACAGCAGCACTGGATGACCTTAGAGATCTTTTCCAACCTTGGTGATTTTATGGTTCTAAAGTCCTGACCTTGGTGCCAGGGAAGCTTATGGAGCAGACTGTCTTGAGGGAGATCACATAGCATGTGCAGGACAACTGGGGAAATCAGGCCTAGCCAGCATGGGTTCATGAAAGGCAGGTCCTGCTTAACCAACCTGATCTCCTTCTACGATCTCGTGAGCGGCCAGGTAGACAAGGAAAAGGCTGTTGATGTAGTTTACCTAGACTTCAGCAAGGCCTTTGACACTGTCACTCACAGTATTCTCCTGCAGAAGCTGGCAGCCTGTGGCTTGGACAAGTACACTCTTGGCCAATGAGTGGTGGTCAATGGAGCTAAATCCAGCTGGTGACCTGCCACAAGTGGTGTTCCCCACAGGTCAGTGCTGGGGCCTGTGCTCTTCAATATCTTTATTGATGACCTGGATGAGGGCACTGAGTGCACCCTCAGCAAATTTGCAGATGACACCAAGTTGGCTGGAAGTGTCGATCTGCCTGGGGGTAGCGAGGCCCTACAGCGGGATCCGGAAGGCCGGATAGCTGGGCTGACAGGTTCAACAAGACCAAATGCTGGGTCCTGCACTTTGGCCACAACAACCCCAGAACCAAGGCTACAGGCTTGGGGGGAGTGGCTGCAAGACTGTGTAGAGGAAATGGACCTGGGGGTATTTATTGATGCTCAGGTGAACATGAGCCAGCAGTGTGCCCAGGTGGCCAAGAAGGCCAATGGCATCTTGGCTGGCACCAGAAAAAGTGCTGCCAGCAGGAGCAGGGAAGTGATCAACCCCCTGTACTCAGCTCTGGTGAGGCCGCACCTCAAGTACTGTGTCCAGTTTTGGGCCCCTCGCTGTAAGAAAGACATTGAAGCCGTGGAGTGGGTTCAAAGAAGGGCGACAAAGCTGGTGAGGGGTCTGGAGCACAGGCCTTATGAGGAGCAGCTGAAGGAGCTGGGATTGTTCAGTCTGGAGAAGAGAAGGCTCAGGGGAGACCTTACTGTTCTCTATAACTACCTGAAGGGAGGTTGTAGTGAGCTGGGGTTCAGCCTTTTCTCTCGTGATAGGACTAGAGGGAACAGCTTCAAGCTGCACCAGGAGTGATTCAGGCTGGACATTAGGAAATACTACTTCTCTGAAAGAGTGGTCAGGCACTGGAATGGGCTGCCCAGGGAGGTGGTAGTCACTGACCCTGGAGGTGTTCAAGGGACGTTTGGATTTTGTGTTGAGGGACATGGTTTAGCGAGAACTATTGGTGGATGGTTGGACTGGGTGATCCTGTGAGTCTCTTTCAACCTTGATGATTCTACGATTCAATTAGAGTCAAGACACAAACTAAACAATAGAACATTCTAAAACTCATGCAAGTTGAAAAGTAAATGGCTCAACACTAAAAATGGTGTTTTAGAAGTTAAATGGATTTGCTACTTAATACATATCACTACACTACCCCTATTTCTTAGAAATCCCAATTTCTGAAATATTTTTTGATGGCTGATCCCACTTACTCTCATTTAGTAGTTTCTCATTTTTCATGAGATACTTCTGCTTGTTCAAGGAAAAATAATACAAGTCTTAAACTGCAATTTCTATGTGAAACAAAGAAAGCATCTAAAACTAAATTGTGTGAAAAAGTTAATTACATGCCCCAAGTATATCTCTCAGGCATTAACAAAATAAGATTCTCAATGGTATCCAGTGACAAGAAGAAATAGGCACAAGCTGAAGTACGAGAAATGTTGTTTAAACACTAGGAAAAAGTACTTTTCATTGTACAAGTCAAACACTTGATTATGCTGCCAGAAGATGTTGTGGAGTCCCTATTCTTGGAAAACATCAAAAGTGGGCACCATCCTAAGCAATCTGCTTCAGCTGACTCTGCTCTGCAGAGGGGTGATAAGCTAGATGATTTCCAGAGGTTCCTTCCAGCTTCTTCTGTTCTAAGACTCTATACAAATCCTACATGAACATACAAGCTTAGTTTACCAAGCTCTTATCAATGGCACCTATGCAAACAACTGTTCTATGTACTAAGTCAGACAGATACTCCTATTCAGTGAAGATACAGAATTATCACCAAAGACGCCCAATGATGAAATTCCTCCCACCTCTGGAAACTCAGCTGCACAGTAATTTCTCATCTCTGACAGTCTGCAGACAGAGTTAAGCATAAAAGTGCTTAACAGAAATCAGAATAAAACGGTCTTAACTAAAACTGAAAGCCAATCAAAATTGATTTTTTTTTTGATCTGAAGGAAAAAGTCTTATTTGAATGTTCATATTTACTATGAGACAATACATCACTGAAGAAACACTTAGTGAAATATCTACTACCAATTTCTACCAATTAATCAGCTGCTTTGTGAAATCTGCTGAAGAGTCTCTGATCAGTCAGCTATTGAAAATATTGAAAATGACAGCAAGTAAGCCAAACTCCTGAGCGTCAAAACAACACTTAGGCAATGCATGATCTTCTTTTCTATCAGCAGAAGTTTCAAAAACATAATGCAGACAGCTTGTAGACTGTTCTTGTACATTTCTTCTGCATAAAGTAAACAGCTATATTCAAATAGATGCATATGGAAACATACAGGTTTCTGTAAAAAGACAATGCTACTCCAGTGTTAAAAAAAATAATAATCTAATCTATGACATGCATAAACACTGTACTGCAGAAATTCCTTTGACACTGTCAAGAATAACAGACTGTATAGGAATAAATTAACAGCAAAAACTAATGAAAATAGATTAAGCATACCTATGAGTTCTGTGGGATTCTTTTCACTGAAGTGTTCACATACACGGATAAATGTTTCTGTATTCTCAGGCGTAGGGCACTCACCATGTCTGATTAAAAAATAAAAACAAGATAGGAATCAGTGGTGGAAGAAGGAAAAAATCGAAGTGAAAAAGCAGCAATTACTTCAGAGTTATCTTTCAAAATAAAAAACTAAAAAGAATACAGTCAACTTACCCCTTACACTGAAGCTTTATATATTTAATCCCCTCTTTCTGTATATCGTTCCTATCATAGAATCTATTGGTGTTGGTCAAGTCTACCAGCAAACCCATTTTAACCTAAAAAATAAATATAATTATATATTCAGTTCAAGTATTAGTGCATAAATATTAATTTGTTAATAACAACCAAATTTAAAATTATAGCAAACCACTATCGCAAGTTCAAAATCTTTCAAATATTGTGCTCAGAAAACATCTATAAAAGTCTCATTCTACTACCAGTCATTCTTTGGAAAAGCTTATGCCTGGATCAGCTTCAGTCACCAATTCAAAAATCTCAGTTTGTTTCTTCCAATATTTCCAAGTAAGAAAAATTTGCTAATAGCAAAAAATATCAGCGGAAGAACTATCTAAACATGTTAAAAGACATAACTTTATTACCTAAAGACATATCAACTTTACATAAAACTACACAGTGACAGCACAATAAGAAAAATTACCTACTGAAATTTATAAGTATCCACTCACAAGAAAAACCTTTACCTCAGTTTACCTATTTAGTAGAGTGCAAAACAAATGAACACATTTTCAAGTTTAAAATAAAAATTTCCTTTATTTCCTAGATTTTTTCTATTCAGACATGAAAAACATAAAACAATTTGAAATCTTGCAAGGTGCTGCAGGTGACTGAGCTGGCAGTTTTAACCACACAGATGTTAGGTGTACCTGAATTAAGGTTGCTTTATCCATTATCCTAATGCATCCTTTGAGCTTTATGGAAGTTACCATTTCAAAATTCAAGACAGAAAGCAGGAGTTCTTCCAGGTGACACCTTACACATAGCTCACCAGCAACATGCATTCTACTGACTCCTCATTTAAGTTACAAGGGAAATTAAACCCTTCAAATTTCATTAAGATTTTGTAACAGCAATGGAAAACACTTCACTCCAAGTTCTGGGGAAATGCATTCCTTTAGGTGAGAGATACAGGAAATTGCAGAAAAACAGAACAGGAAAACAAAGTTGCATGGCAACCTGTTGACTCAATGTTAGCCTTCTTCATTCTGTAGAATTTCATCCTTAGTTCAGCAAAACTTCTTCCAACCACAAACCTCCCTAATGACTGCAAAAAACAGCTCACTAATACACCTGTTTGCTGAATGCATTCCTGGCTTCCTATTTGCAGAACATCATGCTTTCAGTTAGGATCCTCACCATGAAATCAGATGCCTATTTAAAGACTGTTTTACGAGCAGATTTAACAAAATCCTCATTCTGCTGTCTTTTTAAAAAGACATCAATAATGCACTTAAGAGTACATTACCACTGCAGCATGTTACATGTGCAAAAACATAAAAGAACAGCACATCTTCAATATATTTAAAACTCCAGCACATATTCTTAGCATGATTTTGATCAGTTTTTATTTACCTTGCAGTCAGACTGGCAATAGTTTAGAACTGCAGTAGGAAAAATTACAACTTAAAAACACTGCTTTCAGACAATTCACAGAAAATAAATTCCCATCAACTAGAATACAGTTCAGACACAGTAGTTTCACACAGATACATTAATCTGTAGACTCCAAAGGCAAATTTCCAATTACCTACAGAGCTTGTCAGGCATGACATTTAAAGTTCTTATGATACACTTTCATAATATTTTTATTTAATGGATGTTAAAAAGCATCATAACGTTGTGTCGGCAGCACTAAGTATTCCAATATCCAAATTAGTTCTAAATTTCTCCTCTCCTTCATTGTTTACCAACGCTGTGTATTTTGTTCTGAATGGTTTACTGTGAGCATACTGTGAAAACACAAGCACTTTGATAGCAACCCACCTGAAAACAATGTCACATCATCTGAAATTTCAAATATTTCGTGTCAGCTGAGCTGCTAGACACATGGATAGACAGCAGCATATTATCCCATGATTTATTTCGCAGGGAGCACACATAAGGCAATAAATTACTTCCCCTCTATTTTCAAGAACATTTAGCAAACATCTTGAGGATTATTTAATTCACAAGTGAGGCCACACACAATTTCCTGGTGCTACACTGTAGGCCCTTAACCCTGACCTAAACCAATTAAAAACTATTCAGAGTAGAATAACATGTTCTCACATCGGTACCTTTAGGTGAACATACTGGACAGCAAGCTAGGAAAAATAAGTAAAACGGTGAAAGATGCAGGGAATCATAGAATCACCAAGGTCAGAAAAGACCTCCCAGACCACCCAGCCCAATCAGCCACCTACCACCAATATTTCCCTCTGAACCACGTCCCTCAGTGCAACATCTAAACGTTACTTGAACACCTCCAGAGATGGCGACTCCACCATCTCCCTGGGCAGCTCGTTCCAGTGCCTGACCACTCCTTTAGAGAAGAAATTTTTCCTAATATCCAACCTGAATCACTTCTGGCACAACTCAAGGCCATTCCCTCTCATCTTGTCACTACTTACGCAGGAGAAGAAGCGGACCTCCACTCTGCCACAACCTTCCTTCATTGCTCTCTACAGGAAGTTGTAGAGAGCAATAAGGTCACCACCAAACCTCCCCTTCTCCAGACTGGCAATAATAATCCCCGCTCCCTCAGCTGCTCCCCATAAGACTTGTGCTCCAGACTACTCACAGCTTTGTTGCCGTTCTCTGGACATGTTCCAGGGCCTCGATGCCTGTCTTGCAGTGAGGGGCCCAACACTGAACACAGCACTCGAGGTGTGACCTCACCAGAGCTGAGTACAGAGGGATGATCACTTCCCTGCTCCTGCTGGCAACACTGTTTCTGATACAAGCCAGGATGCCCTTGATGTTCTTGACCACTTGGGCACAATGCTGGCTCATATTCAGCCGAGCATCAACCAACACCTCCAGGTATGTTTCTTCCACACAGTCTTCCAGCCACTCTGCCCCTGACCTGTAGCACCACCTGGGGTTGTTGTGGCCAAAGTGCAGAATCCAGCACTTAGTCTTGTTGCACTTCATCCTATTGGCCTCGGCTCAGTGATCCAGTCTGTCCAGATCCCTCTGTAGGGCCTTGCTAACCCCAGACATACTGACACTCCCTGCCAGCCTGGTCTCATCTGCAAATTCACTGAGGGTGCACTCAATGCCCTCATCCAGGTCATCAATAAAGATACTGGACAGGACAGAACCACATAGAATCTTCTAGTAGCATGATCTGACACAAAAAAGTCACAATAACCTTCTTCCATGTTCTGCATCCTATCAGTAGCGTGGTGAGAGTAGGCAAAAAGACTGATACAAGAACCAGCTGTATATTCCCTGAAGAGCTCTACCCTACAAAGCAACACAAGTGGCCCCGTAACTACCCTCCTCTTTGGATTCTGCACAGCTCAGTTGGATAAATTGTTCTTTTATTTAAAATATGAAGTTAGGTATAGTGTTTCCAAGACATCCTCAGCTAAGGAGAAAAACTATTTTTGAAATAAGATTAAGATTTAATGAAAATGATTTTAAAGCAGAGGATTTTTCATCCAGTTGCAGCATAGTAAGAAAGATATTCCAAAATGAGAATTAGTTCTGAAGAAGACGCTGCATCATGCAACAGCCTCAACAGAAGGAAAAAGAGTTGTTAGGAAAATGAGCTGTTTAATAAAGGCAGGAAGTTAAAGCGTAACACTATTTAATATCACAGGTTATCAACAGAGAGCTAAAATAAGTGTGAGTAATTTGTAAAGCACAGATTAACATTCTCCCCTTTCAAAGTAGGGGACACAATTCCACTTTAGTACTGAAAACTCAAAGCCAGTTCCCAACTCCGCTGTTCTCAAATAGCAGCAGCTTCAAAGGCTCCAACCAGAAGCCTCCAAACTTCCCCAAACTGCTCCTGCAGTGAAGAGTTACCAATGAGATGTATGAAAACAAAAATTATTTTCATATCAAAACATTTAAGCTCAAAAAATACTCACACATTTTTCCTTTAACTTTTAGAGATTACTCTTCTGAACATATTCATTTATAGATTTCAGTCTCCTGATCGATACAGAGGAGTGAGGAGAACACTACAACATATTTCAGACCTAAATTATCACTAAGCATTTGGGGATATTGCATTTAATTTCAACAGGAGGATGAAATACAGCAAAGTGTTTAGGAGGAAACACAGAACTACAGAACTTCTGTCCAGCTGATGCTTTATAGTTATTACAAATCATTCACCTGTAAATGAAGATCCTGTGAAGTGGCTGTTTCTCACACAGTTCATAGAGCAGTACACCACACAGGTATCTGGTATAATTCAGACACAGCTATGAAGCATGTATGACATGTACATACATGTATGTGTACGCATGGCATATAGAGCATAAGGCCTGAAAGCAAAGTATCCAGTTACAATATTCCAAAATCCACTCAAAGAAATATCAGTACCACAGAAACTGAAGCATTTCAGTCACCAAGCTGACTGAAATGAGGTTGAACTGTGCCTGCATATGGTCTCATCAATCACAATTCCTACATATAGGAAATATTCTGATACCTGTATGCTCATCACACCTGCTTTGCTGCGCTCCCAAACACTGACATCACAGCAACTACCACAGTCATTCTGTCAGCCATGCTCTCATAGGTTTGCTCCTAGAAAATTCTTAGCAGAAGCTGATCTTTGAAGAACTACCAAACTAAACTAGTAACCCATTAGAAAAAAAAAAAACTATAATTTCCATCCAACATTTTACATAAATCTCATTTTTCAGTCTACCACACCCCACCATCATTAAATGACATGGCTTTGGAAGAGAGTAAATTGTTGAGCAACTTCTCACTAAGGCACGTACATTTTTCTCACAAGAACTGTTGCAACACTAAAATTTTATTGCATTGCAACACAATGAAACTGGGGTTTTTTTGTTTCTTTTTTTTTTTTTTTTTTTTTGCTTGCAATTTTAAAAGATGACTGAAGAGATTAAATAAAGCTGATCTGTAGCTTGAAATTGTCACCTTCCACATACAATAAAACCACAACCTTCATACCATCTCCACTCAGCCATACTTCGGCTGGTGAGTCCACGATCTCCTGTGCTTACAAAAGCCTTCTTCCTCTGTTTCTCACTTCAGCTATCTCACACATAGAATGCCTTATGCATGCACTCTTTTGTTGCTGTGCAAACAAATAGGCTCAGCTAGATTCCCTTTACATAACCCCAGAAGTCTCTCATCAAACATCCTCCTCCTCAGAAGGGTGAAAACACACCACAACACACTGAATTCTCTTTGGTTCCCAGACATCTTTCTTGCATTTTTCATTTGAGGAAAGCAGTTTAAAAATCAGTGATTAAATTGATCTGTGAAACCAACAACGTGGCTAAGAACTGGTAACCAGTTTTCTTAATAGGAATACTGTAGCTTGAATTTATTAACTGCACAATAGTTCTTGTGAGTCCTAGCTCTTCATAACAGAAATAAAATTAACTTTTATGAAGCATAAATATTACTAATTCACCTATTCAAGAAAGAAAGAAAGAAATTATTAACAGTGTCACCAATTGCTTGTGCAATTTATTTTTTTTTTAAATGAGAACATTAAGTTATTGTTTCAGTACTGGCATTTGTTAAAACGAAAAAACAAAAAAAGGAATTGCTATCCCTTATTAAAAGAATGTCTAACACTGAGGTTTTCAGCAACCAGTTCTGAGAGAGAAAAGGAAAACACAGAGGAAGCTTGTTAAGGAAAGTTCCATCTTATCTTAAATGCTCAACCTGTACCTTCAAGTACATGTTAACAGAAGTATCTAATCATGACCAAAATCCTCATGGAAGTTTCTGATGAAATTTCTAGTGTGGGAGGTAAGTTATATGGACATACATAATAAAGCTCCAGAAGGAATTTGTTCTACAAAGTAGTAGCATTTAACCTACTGAAGTAAAATGAAGACAACTATACCCAATGAGTTACTTTTCTCTTACAAAAACCCTCTTTTCTAGGTTTCCTCAACTGCACGTCCATCTCATTTTGCTAGATTGTTGGTAAATTGCTGCTCTAGAAATACAGCACTCTGGTAACACATTGCTCACCTCGGCAAATCAAAAAATGTTTAGTAGATTTTTTGAAACTAGAGAGTTTGAAAATTAAACTGCTAATTAAAATTAGGAGAACATTAGTTTAGATTCTCATGCTAATAACTGCTTTATCAGACTAATCATCTAAAGTCACAAAAGAGATGAACTTGTAGCATTGCAAAACAACTGATGTGCCTGGTAGAAAGGCCATGAAGGCTCACGCCCCATGTTTTGTTAAGGTTTTTTAAGTGATAAATCAGTAGCAAGCAATGACTCAAATTCTGAGAAAATCTTTTAGGTTCTCTACAACTTTAAAACACTTGCACAATTTTATATTACTTTAAACCATGAATAAGCTAGCTTTTGGAAAATTTCTAAGTACGCCCACTAAAGCTGATTGGAGTAAAAAAACCACATTACGTAAAAGAGGAGCCCAAGTAGAACGTAGATGCATAGATCATAGCATTGAAGCAAGGTAAACCCTACCACTTTCAGCACATATGTATCACGTTTGCCCACTAACACCTCTATCACTGCTGCATCGAGTAGCTCACCACCATACCAAAGCTCAAATAAGATTCACAAAATAGAGGCTCGTATTTTAGCCACATGACTCTTCTAGTGCTTAACCTATGATATTGTTAGACTAGTTCTGAACTTGTTTAACTTAGATCAACAGCAAAATTTTTTTTAAAAAGAGGTAAAAAAACCTACCATTGGTTTTAAACAACACAATCTAAACAAGCAATGTCCATCTTCTATATAACAGTTCAACAAAAAGATTAAAAGAATTAAGTAGTGTGCCTTTCTGTCTGGGAGGTTCAAAATCCCCCCTCCTACATCTCTGAATGCACCCAACCCTACAGAGACCTCTGCACAGCACAAAAGGCTGGAAAGGCCTTCTCTCGTCCCAGCTGTGCAGTAGTGAACTGTTACATCCTAGCTGAATGAGACAAACCAAAATGGGTAAACAGAGACAATGAACAGGAGTTCTCTGAAATATGCCTATTATTTTTTAAATACTTTAATTCCTGTAAGTGAAAATGCAGCTTAGCACAGCTGTAAAACTACAGGATCACCTGTAAAACTACAAACCCAAAGGACCTGAACTTTGATAACATCAACTTATTAGGTTGTGACGGTAATAACAGAAAATATAAGGTTCTTGATGATAACACAGTGAGTAAGCTGGAGAATTCTAAACAAGTCTTGCCTATAATCATGTATTTTAGAAACAAAGGAGCTACAGAAAAAAAACTAAAAATGTAAATAAGATATATACATAGTGTAATGCTATAATGCAATTGAAAGTACAGCAATGGCAACAAAATAGCAAAGTCAAAGGCTGCAGCAAATAAGGATATGCTCAGTGCAGCAGCCATGGACACAAAAACAAAGGAAAAAAAGTTGCTTACTCTTGAAAGGCCTCAGGTAGGCAGAGCTCTCCAATGAGATACCTTTGCCCCCACTGCCAACCTTTAAATGAGGTTTGGGAAGGGGCGGATCCTGCCTCCATCCCTTATCAGTAAGGTGCACTGCTTGCACCTGAGCTCTCTTGTGTTGGCCCTGCCTTCCCACCAGGTGCTCAATCACTGATTCAAGCTGTGATTTAGCATTTCTGCTACACATATATATTAAGTTTTTCTGTACCCATGTCCCCAGAAAAGCCATCAACAACATTTTTCTTAAACCTAAAAAGCAATATCTGAATAAATGTTGTTAGTAACAAAAGTAACATTTCAATAATTAGAAAATTTAACTTTACCTTGAGACTCTTCAAGTAGTTGGACAACATACTTGGGTGAAAACGATTTTCTTCAGCAACCTGATCATCGTATCTTGGTCCTAACATTGTCTTCAAAGGTAAAAACTTCCCTATAAAACACAAATTTGGCAGTATTGTATGCATACTGATGTACATACATGCACTTGCAACTTAGTGATTTCAAAGCAATATACCAAGCAGTTTTATAGGTTCTTCTACAATGAAAACTGCTAACTGGAAACATTTCTTAGCTCTGAGTTCACAGAATGCCCCACATGTAAGTCAAGAGGGAAACAGACCAGATCAAGAATCATCATCAAGAAGCAGTACTCTCAATGTTTCAGCTAGTTTTTAGCATGGGTCAAGCTGCAGAGCTACAGCACACAACGTTTATACTCAGTACAGTAGAAAACACAAAAAGCCAATCTGAAAGGTCAATTTGCCATCCAACATGCCTAGCCCAGAGGAGCTGTTGGGGCCCTGAGGAGGAATACAGTCATCCCTCCAAAGCACAGGGCCTGTGTGCAGCTCAGACGTGTTTGTGACAGAACTGTAACAAAAACTTGAGGGGAATTGGAACTTATCCATCAGTCACTAAGAACCCAAGATTTTTCAGTATTGCTTTTATCTTTCCATTCATCTTACCTATCATAGAACACCTGAAATAACCCACTGGGATGCCTGGTACTTCCTGCCCAGCTCCAGAGAGCTGCAGGCAGGCCCCTTCCCCAAACAAAAGCACGTGGAATGAAAACAGTGATGGAGTCATTGCATTCAGATAGAAATCAGCTTCAGGGACAGAAGCTCATTAATCTTCATGAAAATGGAAAAATGCATACCAATCTCACTAAAAGAGCATGCAAGTGATTGCTGAGAGCTCTTTAAACAATAAAATTCATACCATTCTCTGTAGCCTCAAATTCTAACTAAACATCCTGCATAGTTTCAAATAAGTATTTAACTTTTAGGAAAAAGCCACTGAAAAAAAGCGAAGATGGAGAGAAGACTGAGAGAAGCTTTGTGTGATTTGCTGGTCAGCATCATGCAGGAACTGGCAATGAGAGGAGCATCCTCACTGTTAACTGAGAAAAGTCATTCAGTCACACAGTGAGCATACACCTCATATGTCTCAAAGTCCCTAGCCACTTTCAACTCACTTAGCTGGCAGAAACACTTTTCACATTTACCTACTTCCCTCTGCCTTTCTATCCCATCCCCCTTGGCCACAGTGTGAGGGTTGGCTGCCCTCCTTCATTTCCTCCTGGTTTGACCTACCTGCTTTAATTCTGTTGGTTTGTTGCATCTCCTGTCACTTTCAACATTCCTATTCAGCTTCTCACACTGTTAACCCTTCCTTCCAGATTAACTCATAGCTTAAACTGTTCAGACTGATTCTCCAAATCCTAACTGTGGATGATCCTTGAGGTCCCTTTCAACCCTGGCCATTCTGTGATTCTGTGTGATCTTAATGCAGGAATCTATCTTTGCCAAGAATCCAACAAAACATCAAGCGTGCTTTTCTAATTCACTTCACTACTCCTCATTGCCATCCAAACACACCTATTCACTCTGTGGAAGTGCTGAGTATTTTAACAGGCTCCATTTAATACTATTTGGGAACATACTGAAACCCTGATCATTGGAACCATTTAGGTGCCCAACTTCTACAAACTGAAGTTTGGCATCACCATGTAGAAACAGAACTTGCGTGGCAGCGATCAAGTTGTCTGCCAGCATTAGAAGACAGCAGGGAATTCAAGTAATTGCATTCCAAGTTGGGGAAATTTTCTAATCAGGCTATGAAAGCAATGGCTTTAGAAGTTTAAAAACATATGTTTTTAATAATATCTGACAACTCTGCATGCAGTGTGCAAGGCTAGAAGAAGATTAACTAATATGAACCAACAGCAGACTGAAGGACATTGCTGAAACACTTCTCATGTCTTTTCCTCAGTATCTTGCTAAGATTCTCTATAGCAAAAAACAAACAGATGTGATTTCAGGCGGTTATAAAGGGTAGGTACTTGCAGAGACAGAAATGCCAAGGCAGCAAGGCTGAAGCAATCCGGTAACTTCAGTTCCAAGAGTTCAGAGAAAGCTCTTTTTGTTAAACGTGCAACTGAGCTGCTACCACAATGCAGTACAACATGGAAACGTTGCATAAAACCAGTGGCAGCACACTACAACTTAAAGAATGACAGTCCTGTTAGCCTGAATGAACTCAACCTCACAGAGAGCTCCAGACCTCCCCAGTTCTTATATCTGAGGTCACCTAGAACTTAAAGATGCCACTAGCATAAGAGGGATACAATCAAACATGTGATGCCTGTTAGCCCACAGAAGCCAGACAAGCTTTGCTGAATGACAGTATTACTGACACACTATTAGAAGGGAATGAAGCCATGCACAGAAACACACAAATTTGTTTGAAAAGCTGATCCAAATGGGAATATAAAGTATCTGGGAGACAGCAGCAACAGCAGGGAAGTCAACTCACTAAAATAGATGGTTTGAATGCAGAATAACAAATAAAAAGGTAAGACTGATGGTTCATTATGATTTCTGGTAACTGTACACATGCACAAAATCCCTAAAAATTAAATGAAGCATTGTGATAATGCAGCCAAAGAAACAAACCAAGCACTTTCCTTTTTTTTTTTTTTTTTAGTACTAACTTCTTGTGTCAGAACGCACAGAGCAGAACAGCCACCTTGCAGTTCCTGAACAAGCACAGACCGTGCATTCAGTGCTCAGCAGATGACATGCTGATGAACTACATTCGTGCTTACTCTGTCCTTTTTTTTTTTTAGCAGCTCTGGCTTAAAAAAAAAAAAAACAAAAAAAACACACGAACAAAACCAACAACTTCTAGAGATTAAGAACTTGCTGAGAAGAAAAACAAAGAATAGATTCATGGGGCTATTTTTGTGGTGGCCAAAGGCTGACAACTTACGCTATCAAATGTCTAATAGATACAAAGCAAAATATTCGGCAGTGATCAGAAAAGAGAAGAGATAAGGGAGATGAGCAATATGATAATGCTACTTAATTAAGTCAAGCTCAGGGAAGTACAAAGAACTTTGAGGGAAAACAGTAACCCACATGATGAACAGCTGAAATGACGTGCCAGTAATGGCAAGAAACGCACATTGCTGGGAAAACTGAGGTTCCTGAGATGTCTGAGGAAGCTCTAAATAAGTTTGTAAGAAACCATCTACCTCTGCAGCCCCACAACTAACGGCAGGCACAGAAAAGGAAAGAGATAATGCAGAAATGTGGCACAGAGAAGGCAGGCACCAAACTACCGCCTGGCTCACAGCACACAGAGCAGCAAACACTATGATGCAGACGAGTACCTCGAAATTATCACAGACAGGGAGATGGGTGAGTGAAAACTGAAAGGTATTACGGAAAAAAATAAGCGTTTTCTGATCGCTTGCCTGATAAAGGTAGCAAGCGCGAGCAAACAGCCTGTTTGCTCTATCTCATGCTAGGGGGGCATTCACCTCAAAGACCAACCCAAAAGTGTTTCCGTGACACCCACCCCGCGCCCCAGCGGGTGCGCACAGACCGGGCCGGCACCGCCGGCAGCGCCTCGGGTGCACGCGGAGCCGCGGCCGTGCGCGGCGCCCAGCTCGGGCGCGCTGCCCGGGAGGAGGCGGGAGGCACGCGGCCCGCGCCGGACCCGGGACGGGCTGCCGGCGCCCCGAGCCGCCCCGTTCCATCCAGCCGTGACGCGAGGCAGAAGTTTCAGCCCCGAACTTCGTCGCGGAGAGGAAGCGCAGCGCTGAGCGCTCCAGGAGGCCCGGGAGGGAGCGGGCGGCACCGCCCCGGTGCTCCCTTCTCCGCCGACGCCGCGTCTCCGCTCGGGACTCCGCGCGGCCCACGCGGTGCCGCGGTCCCGGGACAAAGCGCCCGGCGGGGCCGGAGAACGGAGGGCGGGCGGGCCGGGAGGGGGACGGAAGGGAGCGGGCACGGCGGGGGCCGCCGCCGCCACGCAGCCGCGCCGGGGCCGGGCCGGGCGCTCACCTGCCACGGGCTGTCCCCTCCTGGGGCAGTGGAGCCAGCGCGGCGGGATCTTGTTGTAAGACATGGCCGGGCCCGGGGCGAGGGCAGAGGGGCAGGGAGGGAGGAAGGGGCGAGCGGGAGCGGCCCCTCGGCGCTCAGACGCGCCCGCGGCCCCGGGCCCGCGGCGCCTTCATTCAGACCCAGCTCCGCCTCGGCCGCCGGCCCGCAGTGCTCCGCGGCCGCTTCCGCTTCCGGGTGCGCGCTGCCGGCGCCGCCATGCCGGGTCCGACGGGCGGTCGGGAGCCGGGGTGGCGAGCGGGGCCGGCCCGAACGGGGCCCGAGCCACTTAACGACAGCCTGTCGAGACTGAGGGGGTGTGAAGCGCCCGCCTCCCCGAGCCGTCCCGTGGTCCTGCGGTTCTACAGACGCCTCGTCTCTCTTATTTTCCCCAGCTGCTCGGAGCAGCGCCGTAGGACGCGGCGCTCCGGGTGCGGATCGGGTAGCAGCCGGCCGCCAGGGGGCGCCAGAGGCGGCCGAACAGAAAGTGAAACCGCGGCGCCTGCGGGCGGGGCGGGGCGCGGGCGGTGTGAGGGGCGTCCGCGGGCTGCTCCGAAAGTAATGCCTCCCGTTTATTTCCACCAAGATTGCAACAGCTATGAAGAACGTTATAATACTGTTCGATAGATCAAATTCGCAGCTACAAAACGCTATTTTTCAACATAATCACCGCCGCTAGCCATGCAGTTTTGCCAGCAATGAACAAGAGTCTGCATGCTGTGCTCGTAAACAACTGCACCGGCACAGGTGGCCCTGTGTCACTGCTGTCACCGCTGAAACGCCGCACCCACCGCCTCACTGCGCTCACACCCAGCCTTTGGGCTCCACCCAGGTTTTAAAGGTGAACATGCTGTAAACATGACATCAAGAGGCGGTACATAGAAAGGGAGTGTGGAAACAGAGGATAAACCTTTTTGCTCTTATCAGTGTTCAGTGTATTCCACTGGGAATTTTACATGGGAAAAACTGAAGCACACAGAGGATCAGTATTGTCTAGCAAAGAGTATTCACACTTTGGAGAATCATAGAATCATAGAATAGCTCAGGTTGGAAAAGACCTCAAAGATCATTGAATCCAACTACAACCTAACCATACTACCCTAACTCTATAAACCCTCTACTAAATCATTTCCCTGAGCACCACATCCAAACAGTTTTTAAACACATCCAGGGATGGTGACTCAACCACCTCCCTGGGGAGCCTATTCCAGTGCTTAACAACCCTTTCTGTAAAGAAGTGTTTTCTGATACCCAACCTAAACTTAACCTGGTGCAACTTGAGGCCATTTCTCTGCATTGTCACCTGTCACCAGTGAGAAGAGATCAACCCCACTCTTTCTGTAAGCACCTTTCAGATATTTGAAGAGAGCAATAAGGTCTCTCCTCACCCTCCTTTTCCCCAGGCTAAACAGCCCCAGTTCCTTCAGTCACTTCTCTGCATTGCCGGACTACTGCATTGATCCCTCCCAAAAACAGCCCACATGTCAAGTGCTTCCTCTTACATTGCTGTGGTTCTGCCCGTGTTGCTTTCAGGTCTGGAACAGTTGGTAACTTACAGCTCATAGGCCCATCTGCATGTTCTGCATATGTAGTTCATGCTGAGCTTTGCCATGTTAGACACTCCGAAAGAATTTACAGGCATAGGATGACAGTTCTTGTGTTACATCTTAGCAAACAGGCACCTTTCTGTTTGGCTCTATAGTTAAGATTACTTCTCCTGTTGTACCAGCAGAGAGCACCCAGTTCCCACATTCTTAACATGGCTTTTAGAAGTGTGCACTTGCTGTTTGAACAAGAAAAACACAGGTGCACGGTGTAGTGGTTATGCAATGCTTTGAGAAAACAACTGCAAATGTTTTAACAGTCCATGGTATAGAATTCCCTCCTTTCTTCTCTGTATGCTGCTTCTCTTTTATCTACATGCATTCAAACTCCTGTATCCTCGCCCTGGTTTCTGTTTGCCAGTTATAATCGTTCTCTCAGAGGAAACACGACAATCAGTAAGTTATTTTCCCAGGATAAGGTTCATTCCTTCTATCATAGCTTTGTTGGCTTCTCTGATTTCAGTCTATCTGCAGTGTTTCTGGTAGTGGAGAGCTGCATTTGTGTTCTACTTCGACTCGAAAAAAGAAAAAAACCAACATGTGAACATGAAGAAAATGTGAAAAACACAATTTATATCTTTTTTCCTCATTACAGACTGAACATTTATTCAAACTACTGCTGGTGAATAACCTCACACTTTTCATTTTATTAATATTAACTTTTATTAATTGCATATAGTACACTAATAATGACTTTTATTACTATTGTAACTAACTAGCTCATTCAGGTATGCTAGCCCTGATATGTGTTCAAGGTAAAGGAAACCAACCAGCTGTTATGTCTTAATAAAGATTATGAGGTTCTATACTGATGTGTCAACAACCCTATGCTCAGGAGGCATGAAGCTTTTGTGGGGGGAAGAAAGGGGAAGTGCTGTTTAAATCTGAATAAGTACTAAGACTTCTTTGATACTGTAGTTGTTCCTTATTCCAATAGTGGTTAAATCCTAACAGCATCAGAAACAATAATAATAATCGTAATAATAATAATATAATCCAGTGCCTTGAAAACATACTTATACTTAACATTATGGTCACTTATGCTAATAAGAAAACCTAAACATGCAGGCATTTAAACATGCTGAGCATTCACCAACTCTTCCATAAGCCAAAAGAAAATGCTAATGGCTTAACAGTTTTAAAACCATGTCCGCCTGTTTCATGTCAGGAAATAATTAAGAAACTGACTTTTAAGACAAATCAATTATTCTTCTATGTTTGAAAATGAAAATAAGACTTTAGAAGGAATTATTTTAATGCTTGTGCATATAAAATAACAAAAAGGGATGTTCAAACTATGCTCCAAGTTCTCCAACATATTGGAGAAAATGTCATTTACAGTGTTCTTCCAGCAGAGAGCTTTGAGAGTTCAACAACAAAATTACCGATCTGTAATCTTCAAAACATTAGGGGGCACCACAGCCTCACAGACTTAACATGATGTAAGCTAAAGTACAGTTATTTTTCCTATCCAAAGTAAACAGGAAACAGCATGAAGCCAGCCAAATCAGCTCCTAGAGTTGTTCCATAATGCAAGACTATGATACAGTTCTTAACACAAATTCCAACAGAAGACAAGCCAGATATCTAGTACACCCTCCTTTTTGTAGCAGTAATAAAACCCTCCTTTTTGTAGCAGTAATAAAACGCACAGACTAATGGATGCAATAAAAGCAACTTGCTTTCAAGTCTTCATGTAAATCTTAAATTTTCCATCAGGGTTTTATTCTGGGAAAATGTGTTTTTAGCACAAGCCTCTAAGGTATTACAATGTTTGTAGAATAAAGCTCTGTATAGGCAGGAGCTTCAGACGGAGCTACTTTAAATCCCAGTCCCTGAACTGGGTATCGTGCTATAAAGGAATCTGTGTGTCTGCAAACTGTCCTCACACCTACAGAGGTAGGAAAGTATCTGGCTGTCTAGAGAGCTGCTGTTATTGAAGGACAACAAGTGTGACTGCAGACACTGACTTGCAGGTCCAAAAAACAAGATGCCTTCCTCTTGTTCCTCTGCAACTGAATTCCTCTGCAACTGAACTGATAGCGTGCTTGATGTAATGGAGGTAAGCAGCTGGACAGCAGGATCATGAGCAAAATAGCTATCATTCTCAGTGGGCTGACACCCACCTCCCCAGTGTTCTTGCAGTTTGACCTCAGCACTGGTGGCCTTGCATCAGATGTGAGGAATAATTTTCAGTGAAATCTTACACCTTGAAAAGTATCTAGATGTAATATTAAAGAACATATTATCCGTTGCATAAAGTGAAATCACACAATAACAGTGTGCTTTCAGTATGGATAGCCATGGAATTTTAGTCAATCAACTGGAATTTCATGATGAGTAGCGGTAGGGAGAAGTGTGATGTAATACAGAGAAACAAACTCTAATTAAAGTAAGTAGAAAGCATGACTCATTATCTTTGGAGCTGATCTGGTGAGATCACACAGTAAAACAGCACATTTGATGCTACGCTTTCTAGTTTCTGCACTGAGGATGGATACCTTCACAAAATCCTGCCCTGAGCGGAGGCTGTAGTTGAAACTGCGTTGTGGGAATAGAAGAGAAACTGTTCAGAGCAGCAGCTGGAAAAATTGTTCAGAGCAGCAGCTATGGAGCAAGATAAGCAGCATGAGAACCAAGGACACCTTTAGAAGAAGAAAGAACGTCTCACAGCTCTGATTGGATAAGCGCCTGTGTGAACAGTTCTTGAAGAGTGTTTTGTAGAATGCTCTGTTAACATGTATAAATAGAATAGTGCTTAACAATAAAGTAGACTAACAGCTTTTAACCACGTTGGTGTGCTGTTGTGTCTCCAGTATGTCCTGAGAGTCCAGAGACTTCCCCACATTTGGTGCTCAAACAGGGATAGAGTGGGACGATTCAGGGAAGTGGACAATGGCAAGACGATCGCGACAGAGGTTGGCACCGACAGAAGTGTTGCGGTAGCTGGAAGTTGGTGCCGACATAAGTGTTGCGGTTAGCTGGAAGCGGGGTTGCGACCTGCCCTCTGTATCCACAATGGAGTGGGAAGCTGTGGAAAAACTGCTGTTAAGTATACTCTCTAAGAGAGGGGAGCAGTCATCTCCTAAAGGCATGACCGAGCTGGTGAACTGGGCTCGGAAGAATGGACATTTGTCGGAAGTTGTGCTGATATTCAGCGTTGACGAATGGCGGGATATTGGGGACCACATGTGGGACTCAGTCATCAGTGGTGGAAGGGAAGAAAAGTTGTTGCGGACCCTTGGCCCCTTGTGGAGGTCTATTATTAATACTTTAAAAACTATGCAAGCCGAGCGACAGGTAGCTGCTGCAGCTATACAGGCACTGGCCGGTACAACAACTAATTTGGCTTCAGAGTTTGACGTGCCTGTTCAGGGTATCACACACCCTGTGTGTTCCTCAGCAGGTCAGGTAAAAGCATTGGTAGAGGCAGCAGCCCCTGATCTCTCGAATGACGTTGCTACTGAGTCATCTGCAGTATTGCAGCAAGGAAAAGGGGCTATACCTGACATCACCCCTGATGTACACTGCAAGGAGCAGTCTCCTGC